GATTGTAGGAATAGCTCAGAGTTGGGGTTTAAGCAAGACATGAATGGCAATAATATAAGGATTTTAATAAAGGCTTAATGTTCAGAATTTGCCAAATTCAAGTAAAAGGAAACATGAAGTTCACAATAAGACAGTGAAGCAAGCCTTTATGTATGATTGGTACTAACAGAATGCAGGACAATCAGGGAGAATGATGGAGACATGTCCAATGGGCCCTGTTGGTCCAGTTGAATTGCCTCTTGTTAGGGCCAGAGAAGCAATGGGGCTCCTCCCTCCCAATCAATAAAGTCTTCTGAGTTTTTGTAGTGTTTTTATCAGAGTCTGGCAGGACCAAAAATTGGGGGAAAGAGCTAAGGAACGTGGACTTCGGGATTAGTGCTGATTCATGCTAGTAGGAGGAAGGAAGACTCCTATGGACTTGGAGGCTAGCTAATATTCGAATTTCTTTCTGGTCAGAAAAGAGGCTATTACTGCTGGTCTTTTGACAGAGTGACTCAGCTTTCCTGTTTTTTTTTCCTTAAAGTTTCCTCAAGGCTTCTTCATTTAGTGGATGGAGGAGGACACTGTATTCCTTACAATAAAGTGGCAAGAAATTTGAGGTTAGAGATCAATGTGCAGTCAAACTGGTAAACTATAAGGCGAAGTCTGTGGAGGGAGGAGAGGAAGGCTAGAGAAAGGGGGTGATTGATAGGAGAGTAGGTAGTGGTAAGAAGGCTTGCAGTAAAGATAAAGAAGAGGTTCCAGTAGAATGAAGCTCAGGGAGAATTGGCCAGGTAGGAGTTTATTCTCAGAAATTTCTGAGTTCAGGAGCACAGTTATGGGTAATATGAGATCCAAGAACTACCCCAATAATTGGGATGGAGTGAAAAGGCCAGCTGTTGATCAGTAAACTGGGAGATCAGAGTGGCCAACATTTATTGAGGACTCCACATAAGGGTGCAAAGTGTTGTTTTTTTAAAATTTATTATTTTTCATTTTCAACATTCACTTCTACAAGATTTCAAATTCTAAATTTTCCCCCCTCCCTCCAGTCCCTCCTCCCTAAGACGGCATGTAATCTGATATAGGCTATACATGTGTGATCATATTAAACATATTTCCACATTAGTCATGTTGTGAAAGAAGAATCGGAACAAAAGGAAAAAAACCCACGATAAAGAAAAAAACAAAAAAAGAGAAAGTAGTGTACTTCGATCTGCATTCAGACTCTATAGTTTTCTCTGGATGTGGATAGCATCGTGAGTCTTTTGGAATTGTCTTAGATCATTGCATTGCTCAGAAGAACCAAGTCTCTTAGAGTTGGTCATTGCACAGTGTTGCTGTTATTGTGTACAGTGTTCTCCTGCTTCTGCCCACTTAACTCAGTACCAGTTCATATAAGTCTTTCTTGTTCAGCCACTCCCCCGTTGATGGGCATCTGGTCAATTTTCAATTCCTTGCCACCACAAAGAGAGCTGCTATAAATATTTTTTGTACATGTGGATCCTTTTCCCTTTTTTATGATAAGAATGCAGAGTTTAAAGAAGATGACTGTGAGTCAGGAACTAAAAGGAAGAAAAAACTCAGCTTGTAAGCCAGTAGATACTTGTGACCAAAATCTGGAATGAATGGACAAATGGAAGGAAGGAAGTACACAGGAGAGGTTGGTGCGGGATCAGGCTAGAAAGGGACGTTCTGAAAGTGACAGAGAGGAACAAGAAGCATGTCGGCTTCTCTTGGCACTTCATTTCTGAGGGCACAAGAGTTCTGGAGATGGTGGCTATATCTGTCACTTTAAGGAAAATGGCAACTGTCTGATAAAATGGGAAGTACCATAGTATAGTGGATAGGAGGCTGGCCTTGGAATCAGGAGGATGTGAGTTGAAGTCCTCTGTCTCTGACACATACTGGCTCATGGGACACTCAGTAAACATTTATTTTTTTTTCTTTTTCTTTTTTTTTAGACAGTTGGGGTTAAGTGACTTGCCCAAGGTCACACAGCTAGTAAGTGTCAAGTGTTTAGTTTGAGGCCGGATTTGAACTCAGGTCCTCCTGACTTAAAGGCCACTGCTCTATCCACTGCACCACCTCGCTGCCCCAGTAAACATTTATTAAACACCTATATGCCAGGCCCTGTGCTGAGCACTGAGAAGATAAAAATATGGGGGGGAAAAAGATAGTTCCTGCCCTCTAATGGATGAAGATTACACACAAAAGGAAGCTAAAAAGCTGTGTGTGTGTGGGTGCTAGAGAGATACCTGGATTGGGGAGCATATGGGAAAAATTCAGAGTTGTGCAGTTGGATAGAAAATGAAAATGTGGCTGGCCCGGGTGCGCTCCTTATGTGGAGGTTCTGGGAGGAGCTTCTCACTTTGCCCTCTAATCAGAGGGGCAGAGGGTACTGATGAGCTGTGAGGATGAAGGCTGGAAGCATGAAATCAGGAGGATGTGCAGGTGTGCAGGTGTGCAGCCCTTCAAACACTGTCAACTTTCTGCAGAGTACTCACAGATCTATTTATCT